ATCATGAGCCAAAAAGCAAGGTGGACATAAAAGGATATATATTTGCCCACCAGTCCGGGAGATTAAAGGTGCATCTCTCGACAGAAAAACTTGCTACCATTCCCAGCATCCACGGGCATTGTCTCCTTCAGGACCTGTTTCTGCTAAGCATGTGCAGAAGGGCACCCTAAGGCCACAGTCCCATTTTCCTGGGAGGAATCCTATTGAACGCCAAGGGCCTTTGCTCTGAGCCAGAATGCATAAAACCGTGGTGTGAAACAACAGAGGAATGTTCGAAGCTTGCTGTCCAGTGGCAGCGCCACCTCAACAGGATGGGCCACGCATTACTAACCAAGCATGGGGAAATGAAGGCACAAATACCTGCCTGCATCACTGAACTAGTTTGGCGTGTGACGTACCTGTTGGCGCAAGAGAGAATCCGTCTCTCGCTCTGACACCACGAAACCCACAGCCGTGTGCCTGTCCCAACCCTGGCTCCCTCCCTCCTTTGCATGTGGGGCAGTGGCCGGTCTCCAGGGCTGCTGGTTATTCATCAGCGCAGACATCCTTTGAAGGCATCGAAGAACACCCTGTGGTGATTGTCACCTGCCTTGAGACACAAACCTGATTGTTCACCTGGTGACCCGGTTTGCACATGGCAGCCCTGAAGAAAACTCACACCCTTGGCATCTGTCTGGAGCTCGTTTCCAAAATGCTGAATCACTGATTCCACCTTAGGGACCGGCGGTGGGTGGGGTGAGGGAAACATATTTCTGCAGATATAGCACAGGATCACTAATTAACCTTGGCTAATCTTTTCATTACCCTGGGCTGTCGCATTTCCCTTTGCGGCATGAGTAACACAAGTCTGATACACACGTCTCCTTCTGGCACTTTGTCACATGACACACTACTCTCAAGATTCTAGCCCTCACTGTGCAATCACTCAACACCACCGCCACCAGGACAGCCACCCTTATTGGCGTGGAAGCTCCTTCACGTTGCAGAGGTTTCTGGGAGCTTTTCTAGACATTTGGGTCAAGCCCAAATTGGGTGGTTCACACGGGCACTCCATAGGAACAGAAAGAACATGGTGGGCAAGGCAGTTTGGGTAGGTTCTTCCCTAGGAGCCCTTGATAAGCATCTGAAAAAGCTCAGAACTTTGTCTCTGAAGGAGAAAGAAGGTACAGACTTCTATCAAACTTGGAATTCCTTTTATTATTGGCTAGAGAAACGGGACTATGCATAGATTTAAATATGTTTATGGATTATCATAAAAAGCAAAAGTTTGGGGGGCTGACCCAGTAGGTCTGATGTTTTTGATGATTGAGGATTTTTTAGTTTCTTTTAGTTAGTAGAAAATAACAAAAAAACTTAAAAAAAAAAGCTCAGAACACAGCTTGGGGGAGGGAAAAAACCCCATACTAACCTTACTTCTTGTGTCCTCCAAGATGAACAGCAACCAACGCCTCACCTCCATCTACTGGAGGTGGGTGCGTTTCACTTGGGAAAAATAAGATTTTGGGATCGTGTCCGTGCATTTTGCATGCAGGCCCAGCAAAGCAGGCGGTTGCACCAAAAGTCCTTTAAGATCCCTGTTTGCTCTACAAATGCACAATTCTAATCATGAGAATTGCTCCACCTCAGCACTGAACAATTCTCCTGGAACACCGGCTCAGCGCTTTGCAATTCCTGGGACTTTTCACCTTCAAACTTGGAAGCCAACAGGATGTGGCAAAACAAAGGTGGCCCCCTATTCAGTCAGGTGGGTGGGCATTTGCCCAGCATTCATTCACCGTGGCGTTTCCTGGCCGTACTGGAAAATGGTAACCGTTTCCCTGCTTCTGATCGGATACGGCATCCTATCTTCCTGCCAAAGTAATACTGAGAAACGGACACCAGCGGCCAGTGGGGTGGCAGGAGGGACACAGCCATCTGCATCATGCTTGGCTTTCAAGAGTGGAAGGTAAGGCGATCTCCCGATGCAAGAAACACCATGTACACGTGTGTATGTGTGTGTGTGTACTTTCCAGTGTGGACCGACGCCTTTTCCCTCCACTCCCAGGTGCTTTTAAATTCTATTCTTGGAACAAGATGCCCTACCTTTAACAAAATAATCAGAACCACACTACACCTGAGATAATCTTGCAGTCATAAGGAAACCCAGCCTAGGTCAGCCCAAAGTTGCATCCAGTACTGTAGAAACATAGAAACAGAGCGAGTCAGAAGGGGTCTCCTGGGCCATCTAGTCTGACCCCCGGCTCCAGCCGGCTCTGCTCACTACATGCCCACCATGTGGATGTCCAGCCTATCCTTAAACATTCTCACCACTGGGGCTTCAACCACCTCCCGTGGAAGCCCAATCCGTACCCTAGGGGTCCTCACCATCAGGAAGTACTTCTTGGCATCCAAACCAAATCTTGGAACCCTGAGCTTTGCTCCACTGGAATGCATCCTGCCCTCCACTGCAGGGGAAGACAGGTCACGACCCGCCTCTGCATGGCAGCTGCAAGATGCTGCTGCTGACCCCACCCCAGGAAGCATAAGAAATCCACCCCTCCCTTTCTGTGTGTCCCCAGTATCCAGTATCTGAGCCTACACTGCCCTGAACATGAAGGTTCCATTCATGCATCTGGGCAAGCAGCTGCAGATAGATAAAGGGTGTCCAATCCCCCTTTTAAGGTCACCCAAGCCACAGGCCACCACCACACTCTGCGGCAGCTGATCCTTCTAGCTCAGGAAAGAAAACCCACTCACATCCACCTTCCAGCACAGAACCTGCTGGTTTGCAGAAGGCCCCGAGCATCACTGCTTAATGGGATCCAATGCAAAACTCCTCTGCCTGGAACCCTGGAGAATATCCACCACTGACTTGGGAATAGGTGCAGCAGGAAATCTGAGCCAAGTTTCCTGCCTCAGCAGGCTTGTGCTTAGAAAAAGCCACATAAGCACGATCACAGAGGCAGTGCAGTTCAGTGGTTAGAGCAGTCTTTCCCAGCTCTTTTCCGCATCAGGCAACAACCTTTTTTCTTTTAAAAAAACTTATTAGTTGATGCCACTAGACCTTTGTTTGGTACTTTTGTTTGTATTTTATAAATACTGTATTTTTTTTGAATTGTTGTAATTGGGTTTATTGCGGTTTTTATCTTGTGATTGTGAGCCGCCCAGAGGAGCTGTGGCACGGTGGGTGACATACAAATGTTTAAAATAAATACATAAATAAACTGGGTGTCCAAATGGCTTGCACTAGCACTGCCTGATGGCTGGCTTTGAAGGGTGGGTGCTGTAGGCCAACACACCTGCCGAACACCTGCTTCTGGAAGCAGGTTGGCTTCAGCCCCAGGAAGCCCACGCACAGAGATTCAAATGCAGCCCCTTGAACACACGCGGTAGCCCCTTCTCTTGCTCAGTTCCACCACACAACAGACCTGCAAGGTGGGATGACCCCATGCCCATCTGGTAGCACAGGACAACCAACCTGAACTGGCTCCACAAAGAGACATAAATATTTTGCAAAGCAGAACTGTGCACTGGTCTGCCGGGGGGGGGGGGGGCGGGCAGGGGGCACCGTTTGCAAGATGTTCCAAATTCCAGGGGGAAGCGAGCACACATGCCAGGGTTCGGGCTCGCTACCAGCTCTCCTCTGAAGAAAACAAACGATTACCCAGAGCCTGTTTCCCCAGACATAGGAGGGATGCTACCTGAAAATCTCTCTGTGAGCAGCGAAGGAGCACATTTTCAAGGGAAGCCGCGATTGCCACCTCCTGTTCGATCCAACAGGGCAGGAGGAGAGGATTCCAGGGGGTGACCAGGGCACGCGGAGTACATCTCCACACCCATTATTCCCAGGCACGCAGGGAAACATGGCTCTGGGCTCCCCCCCCCCCCTTCAAAGCATCTCTTATCTCCCCTACAACAGCGCACCTGCCACCCCCGAAGCGCTCGCGTGCCCGGCCACGTTCCTCTCGCCGCGGGCACCCTGCTGCCCCCGCCCTCCCCAGAGGGAAACACCAGGCGAGGTACTTTCAGAAGCAACCGCGGAGCTGGGAAATCAAGCCGCTTTTTTAAAAAAGGAATGATGCAAAACTGACGCAGCCGATCGCCCCCGGAAGGGGCCGGGGACACTTCTCCTGGTTACAGGACGCTGCGCTGGGAGGCAGCATGGAAGACAATAAAACGCGGCTGCACACAAGAAGCATTAATTAGAGGGGCTTTTCTAAAGCGAAAGCGCTGCCATTCAGCCACCGTAAACACTGGTGCAGAAGCAAAGCGGGTTGCTCGCATCCAGAGCACGGTTTCTTTTAATTCAGAAGGCGTGGGGGGAAGAGACCCTGGTGAGGAGGCGGTCAGGTGCCCACAAGCAGAGGGGGTTTCCGAATTCCCGGAGTGACCCGAGCAGCAGCTGCGCGTCCATATGGAAGGCTGCAGCCTCGCCACAATGGATCGCTTCTGGATGGGTGGGCGAAGCTGCCCCCTGTCCCGAGAGACCGGGGCGGGGGCCATGGAGCTCGGGCATCCCCGCTTTCTGCAGCCCCACATCCAGGCGGGATCCCCGCTGGCAGAGCTCCGCCGGCTGGGATGCTGCGTGCATCCCTTTGTATGCACGGCCTCATCCCGGGCGCTCAGCCGGACAGCACCATGCGGCACGGGGCGGGCGAGCGGGCGTGGGGAGGAGGGCGAGGGAGAGCGGGCGCAGCTGCGGCCAGGGCCGGCCGATCGCTGGGGAGCGGGGAGGGGGGCGGCCAGAGGAAAGGGGGCAGCCGGGGAGAAAGGGAGGGCAGACGGTGGGAAGGAGAGCAGGTCGTGGAGGACAGGAAAGCAAGGGGAGGAAGCGGGATGAGCGGCGTGGAGGGAAGGGCAAAGGCGGCCGGGAACCGGGAGCGAACCGGGCGTGCAGGGGCGGGGGGCGTCCTTCGGCGGAGACGGGGAAACGGAGGGGAAAGGAGCGGACGAGGGAGCGCAGGAGGACGGAGGCCCCCGAGACGGGAGGGAGGGGCGGCGGCGGCGGCGTTGGTCCTCACCTGCCACGGTGTACCTGTCCAGGTAGTTGAGCACGTTGCCCGCGCTGAGGATGGCGGCCGCGGCCACGCGCGCTCTGCCCAGGCTGGGCGCCGCCTGCGAGCCGCGCTCCGCGCCGCCGGCGCCCTTGGCCGCCCCGGGCTCGTGCAGCGCGCCGGAGAGGGTCCGCACCTCGCCGCCGCGCCCG